AGTGGACCTCTAGGTTGAAAAAGCTAGCCTAGAAATCTAGACGCACCCTAGCGGCAGCAAAAATCATTTCGCTGTCAGTGTGCATCTAACATCTTGATGTAGGTCTGGCATGCCAGGCTATGAAAAAGCGTCAATGCAAGTGAATGAGAGAAAATAATTATTTTCTGATCCCGTTTGAATTGTGCCATGAATGTGAACATATGTTGTCTGTGAATTTTTTATATAATTTCTCATGTAACGAGTTTGACAGTATATTGTATGATTCTTTGGCTAGCAGTTGTGGAATAGACATAACGAGAAAGACTACACGTCGCATATGTGACGTCACCGCATAACACATTTTCTCTCCACAAATCACGGTGCGATAATCTATGCCTGTGTGTTTTGTACGTTTTGTACCCAAATGTCACCATTCAAACAAAGGCATGTTTAGCGGGATCCGTGCTGGTGGTGGTGACGTATATCAAACGCGTCGAAAGCAGCGAAGAGTTGTAGTCCACAAAGTGCTCTCACACAAAGTCTACCGTATGAAAATTCTACCTGCTAAATTGTAGCATTCTTTACACGAAACATTATATAAAAAATTCACAGACAACATATGTTCACATTCATTGCAAAATTCAAACGGGATTAGAAAATAATTATTTTCTCTCATTCACTTGCATTGACGATTTTTCAACCTAGAGGTCCAGCGGGGAAGCGGAAGGGGCGGGACTTACCAGCTCTATAGCATAGTGGAGCACATGGATTTCAAGCTGCAAGACTGATGCCTTGATGTCCAGAAAAGTAATAAATCTACTCTTTATTCTTTGTGTTGGGCATGTACACTTATTATGCGTCATTACCATATGTGTTGTATTTCTGTATTTTTAAACATTTTTGGATTATTTTTATCACTTTATTAGTTAAAATGGTGTACATTACATGTAGATAGCGAGCTACACTTGCTTAGTCATCATCTTTGCTAGCAAGGCTAGTTTTTTGACTAAATTGTCATTCCCAGCACAGTCATTATACCAGCACATTACAGCTTGTGCTGGTAATGACAGGTTGTGGTGGTGATGACGGCAGATACACACAGTTCCTGTTTGGTCTTCCATAATCAAATTAAACTATGTTTTGATGTTTAAACCGATTAATAGCTGGTGGTTTTTTTTTTTGGTCTGAAGTCACTTAGGCTCTTTAATTACGATAGGTTATGATCAGTGATTTGTCATCACCGCAACAAACTGTCATTACCAGAACTGCAATGTCATCACCATCACCATACATATTTTTGCCAATAAATTACAAAAACATCCTACAATTATATATTTCTGACAAAGTTGGACAGTCTAAATTATCACTGTATTAAACAAGTTTTGATATATGGCATTCACTTAAAATAAGCTTAGCCTATATTCCAAGCCAGGGTAGATTGATGAATCAGAAATGTAGATACTTAAATGACTATAATTCATCTTGCAAGTAAAAATCAACAATCCCATTAAGTTCAAGATAAAATAGATTCCATGTGAAACCACAAAATGTTTTAAAGGCACTGATTTATCATTTAAGTTTTTTTTTTTACATACATTCGATGATGTGATGGTAATGACACATTTACTTGACATAGTTAAAAAAATGGCAAAAAATCATAAATTCCCTTATCTTATGCTCTCAACCAAGCTCATAACGTTGTACCCGACTTAAGGACTGATAATTTGATGTATACCAATTAGTCAAATTTGGGATTTTAATTTTCAAAATTGCAGCAACCCAATTTGGCCCTTAATCTGAGAAATCTCACCACTGAGAAATGGTGAAACTATTCAATATAGTCAGAATCCATCATTACGGACCCAAAATCGACAACTCGACAGCCCAAACAGAAGCGCAACAGAATTTTTTTTAAAGCTAAGTCATAAATCTGTACATTAACTCTCTCTTTCTGTATCAAATGTAACATGTGTTGTACAAAGTTTTTATCAGTCAAGATGAATTAAATTATAATAAAACTAAAGACTAAAACATATTGAACAGCTATATAGCTACTTACCATTGTCATTATAAGTAGTAAATGTGTGCACTTTACTTGCACAATGTTTGATTTGTTGAGTGTAATGCAGGCATAATGATGTGGTGATCTACTTATACCATCACCAATTTTATTACTGTTAATTTTGTGATGACAGTGATGTCTCACTGTTCATTGTGTTTTGGCTTTTTCAAGGAATTTGTCAATCATTTCATGAGGAACATGGGTTGTTGTTACTGGTGTTGTAAAATTGTGCTGTGTATGAAAACGGGAGTTATCCCCAAAAGTTATTGGGGTAAATAAATAGCCTATTCGATAGCTTCATGCTCTATGACGAAATTGTTTAATTATAAACCGATCCATAAACATTATTTTGTTGTAGGCCTACATTATTCAACACGCCGTTTTAGTTTAGGCTATAAAGATATTAAAAACTAGAAACTACTATTTAGTTCCCTTAACCGCTTTTGAATTGGAACCGGTATCGTTCAATTCTATGACAGCTGTGTTGCGTTCAGTCCAAGATGGCGGAGCTGCAGCTCTGCGCATGGGTGCGTTTGTTGCAATGGAACGTTCTCTTACGAGAGGTTCTCTCGTACTGCGTAATATCTTACGCTAGGGAAAAACCTCTTTTCCTCGAGATATTGAAGCCAAAAAATTATCCTTGATTTTGCATTAATGTAAAACGCATTGCAGCAGCAAGCAGACATAGGCAAGGCGGCTTAGCGTGCCTATTGGCTGACCTGCGGCAATTGCAGCAGCCTATCGAGAAGGGCCATTCAGTGACAGTCCAATGAAGGCGCTTCGCGCCCATTGCGTCTCGCTCCCGCCGAAGCGGGCGTGGCCTAGCCCTATAAATACGGCTCGATGGGCTGATATAATCTGATTTTCATCTCTTCAGCGAAGCGTTCGCACCGCTGGATCCAGAGTGAGAAGCCGTGCCGTCGAAACAGCTTTCTGCGGGACGAGCCTCTGCAACTGAAGTCGCTAGCCTTCACCTCGCCGCCTTCAGCCGCCGTTCCTGCTACGCTATCCGGCGTACTATATATCCTTTACTCTGCTCTGTGTGTGTGTGTGTGTGTGTGTGTGTGTGTGTTCGCCCCGGCGACTCACACGTCTATCATCTAAAAGAGCCGCGTCTTTTTAAAGATGCCATCCTCCTGTGGCTCGTGCCGAGCCCCACTCAGCGACGGGGACCGCCATGTGATATGCGTTTCTTGCCTGGGAGAGGATCGTGCAGCTCTCGCGTACACCGACGGCGGCTGCCCTCACTGCGAGCTATTGCCTATGGTGACTCTGAGGACTCGCCTGGCATACTTCAGCGAGACTGTACTTCCACCCGCTACAGTGCCGCACCGTAAAAGCGTCGTACTCAGCGGGTCCCCGAGCCTTCTCCAGCCCGTGAAAGCTCGCCGGTTCGCCCACCAGCTTCACCGGCTTCACTCGAGTCGCTCACTGACGGATAACGGCCGCCGCGCGCCGCCGCTTCCGCCATTAATGACGACGAGATAGCTGCATCTGTAGAGAAGGCCAGCTGCTCTATCCTGGCGTCGGACAGTGAGGATTGGGTGAGCTCTGTGGACCTACCCCCCTTCTGTCCACAAGTCGTCAGGGAAACGGGCCAGCATCAAGACCGCGGCTAGCTTTCTTTACATTATAAGAAAGCTACCCCGCCCAGCAGATAAAAAAATTTAGTCTCGCCGCGGCCAGACTTCCACCGAAACTTTTCGCTCGTTCAGTTCCAGAAAATGCGACTGTTCCAGTGTATTTTGCAGTAAACAAGCCGTTACCACGGCCCGCTTGCCTGCACACAAATGCCGTTTCTATGGCGACCCAGAAAAATCATTTAAGCATTGTATTTTCTGGTATTCCGGCCACAGCCGATGGTGTTATGAGTGTAATAAAATGCCCACAGCCCATTGTTCATTTCTAGACACAAACACAGCCCGCCACGGTACAGGGCTCCCACAAATGAAAGCGACGCATGTCAATTGTGCATTAAATGTAGTGAATGTGCCCACAACTCAGTGCCCACAAACACTACACACTGCATGTACCACGGTTTCTGTAAAACGAAACCAACACAAGTCTTCCTAGCCTCCAAGGAAAATGACGGTGTTTCAGTCTCGCCGCGGCCAGACTTCCACTGAAACTTTTCGCTCGTTCAGTTCCAGAAAATGCGACTGTTCCAGTGTATTTTGCAGTAAGCAAGCCGGTACCACGGCCCGCTTGCCTGCACACAAATGCCGTTTCCACGGTGACCCAGATAAATCACATAAGCAGTGTATTTTCTGGTATTCCGGCCACAGCCGATGGTGTTATGAGTGTAATAAAAATGCCCACAACCCAGTGCTCATTTCAACACACAAGCACAGCCCGCAAAAATGCAGGGCTCGCACAAACAAAATCGCCTCATGTCGATTGTGCACTAAATGTAGTGAATGTGCCCACGTCTCAGTGCCCACAAACACTACACACCACATGTCCCACGGTTTCTGTAAAAACGAAACCAACACACATTCAGTCAGCTCAGGCCGACGGTGTTTTCAGTGCAGTAAATGTGCCCGCTGTCCCGGGCCCACATTCACTCACAGACATGTTAAGCCCCACGGGGCTCGGAAAACGGAATAAGGGAAAACGGATGCTCAGTGCTCCTTGTGGCGCCGCTCTGGACGAACCAAGCATGGTTTCCAGTCCGGATGCAGCTGACGAGCACTGCCCCTTGGCCTATACCGATGATGCCTATACCTCCTCTCCCAGGCCAGGGGTTCAATCTGGCATCCTTATGCTGCGTTCACACCGGACGCGAATAGCGCGTCAGGCGCGAGTGATTTCAATGTTAAGTCAATGCAAAGACGCGTTACGCGCGTAAAAAATTCCTGCGGCGCGAATGAGGCGTAGAGCGTGGCGCGGTAGACGCGAATACGCCTCATTCGCACATCAAGTTCGCGCGAATTGAGCGTCTGGCGCGTTACGCGCGAATGGTGCATTCACGCGTTTGACGCGAACTCGCGTCTGCCGCCCGAGTTGAAAAATCGGAACTTTGGCGTCAATTCGCGCCGCGTTAACCAATCAGGAGCCTAGCTGCTTGCTGCTGTCACGTGGTTAAGTATCTGGATGCTTCAATAAATTATGTTGTAATATGACTAAATATGCCTGGTGTGGTTCTAATGCACAACAAATCAAATATTTTATCACATAAAACTTGATTTCAATATATGAGACATTCATTTTGTATTGAATGGTATTTATTCCATATCTAGATTATATGAAATATTATTATAATGTAAAGACAACCAACATGTATAAATTCGTGTCTGGACAGTGTTGTGTGAGAGAGAAAAAAATCAAAGGACAGGTTAATCACTTTTGGAGGCTGGCTCCATTTATCATCAACACAAAAATAAATGACATATTAGGTGGGTGAGGGCGAGGGTGATCCTCGCTCCGATGCGGGACAACAGGTCATCAAACTGGGCGCAGGACAGGCGGAAGTACCGCTGAAAGCGGCCGTCATCCAGGCGCAGCTCCTGGAGCGAGCAAATGGTAAAACTCGCCAAACTGGGTTCGCCTCCGAAGGGTCTGGTGGACACAAATACTCTACAAGATATCTGTATGGCGGCAGGCTGGGCCTCCCCGTCTACATTTATAAGGTTTTATAACCTGGAAGTTCCCGCCTTACAGGCTAAACTGCTGTCGGTATAAATAAGTATTATCTGCCTCGAACTTTGGCTCAGAATACTGCATCCGCTCGAGCACAGCTCGCGACCGACCAAAGCTAACATGGGCAAAATAAGACCCGTGCTAGACCCTGACTGTGTGGAACACTTAAGTGACTAGCTCCCTTAGGATGCTAAATGTTATTGAGAATGATGCTTCCAGCCTCTCTTCTCAGACTCTGTGTGAGTCTCTGGTGATTGTGCACTATATGAGCCCCGGGCACCTGCCCTTGGGACTTTGGTGTCGGATCCCAGCACGCACGGCGTTTTACATTGTGTTCCCCTAGCGTAAGATATTACGCAGTACGAGAGAACCTCTTGTAAGAGAACGTACTCGGTTACTAACGTAACCTCGGTTCTCTCTAGAGAGGGAACGAGTACTGAGTATCTTGCCGTGCATGCAGTACGCTCTGGTTCGCTTCGGCGATGAAAACCAGATTATATCAGCCCATCGAGCCGTATTTATAGGGCTAGGCCACGCCCGCTTCGGCGGGAGCGTGACGCAATGGGCGCGAAGCGCCCTCATTGGACTGTCACTGAATGGCCCTTCTCGATGGGCTGCTGCAATTGCCGCAGGTCAGCCAATAGGCATGCTAAGCCGCCTTGCCCAGGGGCGCCGCTAAGGGGGGAAAAGTTAGGACGATTCTAAGGGCCCACACACTTTTAGGGGCCCCAGAAATCGATTTTATTAATTGAACGGGTGCAGCAGTACCTATTTTTTCATGGGGCCCAAAATCCCTGGCCGCACCCCTGGCCTTGCCTATGTCTGCTTGCTGCTGAAATGCGTTTTATGGCTTCAATATCTCGAGGAAAAGAGGTTTTCCCCTAGCGTAAGATATTATGCAGTACTCGTTCCCTCTCTAGAGAGAACCGAGGTTACGTTAGTAACCGAGTACGTTTTGCCTCTTGGTACCGTACTTCTAGTTACTCTTTGATTCAAGTCCTCCTAGGAAGTTCGAATTTATGAGGTGGGAGATCGTGTTTACTACGGCAGGTGCATTCACTTTCGTATAAGATGGTGGATTCTCTTAATTTATTGCACACATACGGTTCAAAGGTTCTTAAACTCTACTTCTAGAAAATGAAGAACAAGGAATGTGCATCGGGTGTGTTTTTGCTCTTTTTATTAATAATTTGATGCTGCCACAGTAAGCTTTATCATTACATATTGTTATATTAATGCTATTATAGTTTGTGCAGACTATTAGCTTAGGCTACTTCGCTGTAGGCTAAATAGAAAAGCCTGACGGTTATACCTATATTCCGACACGCCCCCAACTCGTAAAGATCGGGGCTTAAAGAAAATCCCGAGCTTCCCACTTGTAATTACGACATTGTGGTGACGTTAGCCAATTAGCAGTATCAGGACATGGTTTTCCTCTGACAATTCCGAGGGGTCCTGCTCCAGCCAAGTAGCTGCCATTGAGATGATGGGGAATGCTACCAGATATCTTTTCTAGAGCTCCTTGGTTATTACTCCCTTTAATTTATTCCATTAACCTGCTTGTCATTTTGCCAGTTTTGCAAATAAATTTTCATCTCTCAAATAATATAAAAAGGCAATTCATGCTTGTTTATAATATATACAATCAAGTTTTCCAAAATACCTCTGTTGTCTATTTTGTTTTTGATTATTCACTTCCGGCATAATGTAGGCTACATCAGCTGGCAGGCATACTAAAAGAGACAAAACAGAATAAGCAACAATTTATCATCACCTTTCATGTTTAGGTGAGACAAATTACAACAACTGAACTGAGTAAAATCTATTACCCAGGCTTAACATTTGCATGTGAATACAATAAACATGATGAAAATGTAAAAAGATGCTACTCACAGCACATTATGTTGCTCCATTTGCATTGCATTAGTGTTTAGAGCACTCAGATGGCTGTTTCCATTCGTCACTCATGTCTGTCCCATTAAAATGGAACTGGGACAAGCCAACAGTCCTTAATGTACACCAGCAGAGGACAGAATGGTGGACAGGACATATTTCATGCTATCTGCGGTTAACATTCAAGAATAACTGTCTGTTTATTGTATGATATGGAATATGAGTATATAATACATCATATAACCATTAACTCACAGAGGCAAGTGTTTATATTTAAATATTTTTAAATTCATTCAATGTTTAAAGGGACCTGATGCTCTTTATGCTCACATATATGTCAAAATTATTCCTACAAATTCTTCCTTTTTCATTAAAGCTAAATCAACACAAATATATTTCTACCTGTACAAAACCGTGTTACTACAAGAAAAAAAGAAGAAAAATGTCAAACTTGCTGAAGTGTAGCAAAGCTTAAATTGCAGAACCATGGCAATTCCACAAAGTAATGTACTGTGGAATTTTGCAGTTTCTGAACAGTGAAGCTCACAAATCTAAATCTGGTGTCATGAATTATTGAAGACTCTTTATGGAGTTTTCTCCACTGCTGAATATGAAGCTCTGTACAAGCCTAAGATCAAACACAACCTTGGATAATAAGAGCTAAATTTAATGCTAAAAGTAGTTTCCACAAAAAAAAAAAGTTCAAACTGGTGTGCACTCCATTTTAATGAAAAATGAACTTGCAAGGGTAAGAGATGTCAAAGTGTGAAGACAAGGCACAAAGATTAGGCCCTCTTGAGATGGTCAGTGTTAGTAATGTCCATGGTAACCACCTCTACGAGAAACTACACAGGGAAATGAAAAAGTTAACAGGATGAGATTAGATGACAAGTTGATGTCTGGTTGAATTTTTCCCTACTCACACAGCAAGGAAAATGAAGTCTGTTGAACTATCAGTCATCGGGAAATACAATATGAGAATTGCCGTCTTATGAGCCCTGAGGTAATGTAGCAACACTAGAGATCCAAAAGTGTACGGGGTCTACGAGAAAACTCTTCAGCCATGTACAGCAACACAGTTAATGACAGGTAGCCGATGGGGAGGAATTCATTACTCGAATCATCCAACAAAGCACATGATTCCCCCTCGGGCTGTCCTTGTATTCATGCTGACCTTTAGTTGTGTTAATAAACCATTTTTATTAAATATGGCAATTTTAATTTATTCAATCTAATTAACATTACTCCTACATGCACTAATTGTAAATTCAAGTCATTTTACTTTTTACCATAAAGTTAGCTCTCAACATTGCTTTAAATTGTATTCATTCTCTCTCACCTCAGCGCTCAGCAGTTGTTGAGGTGATACAGTTGAATTGCATCTGTGTAGAGGCAATTTTGAAACGTATAATGAGAATCAAGAAAAGGTGAAAGTGTTTTTGCTTCCAAAACATATAAAGCCTGAAGCCAGATTTAACAAGTTTTTTTTTTTTTTTTTTACCTTCAGAGGAAAAACATTTCTCCAGTGTGCAACATTTAAAACAGCTATGTATTAAAGGGGGAACAAAGCCAGTAATTTATTTTTTTTGCAGAATCTTCACTAGAGTAAATGCGTCTATAAAATTCAGAGAAAAGTAGACTGCTAAAATGCACTTAATTTGGCATGATAGATTGGGTGCACGCTTCAGTGACTGTAATTGAATCTGTGACCTATTTCCTCAGAAGAAAATTGTCTCTTGGGTTTGTTTTTTTTCCTATACATTTCAATGGAATTCAATAGACTGTTCAGATTTGTACATTTATAGCCTAGTGTAAATAATTCTCCTTGGAATGTGTAAAGCAATTGATCTATGTTCAATCATTCTTGCAATAATGGAATAAATGTATTTATGAAGATGGCATATTTTTAAAAATGATATATTGCTTGATTGATTTTAATCAAACCCTTGTCACTGTAATCAAAAAAACATAATTACAAACAATCAATAATTTAACTGCAGTAACCCATACCAAAAATCACTGTAGTCTACAGTCTAGAATGATGCTACTCATTAATTTGTTCTGCCTTTCCCTTTGGTCTTGGGTACAGTCTGATTTTAGTAAGTGACACGGCTAGCAAAACAATCATGTATACAGACACTTTTGGCTCAGAGTCTGATTCACTTGTATTTGCCAGGAACAGCAGTAAAGTACTTTTCCCCCCTTCTACTGAAGTCAATAATCTAATTCGGATGTTTCACCATCCAAAACAATCAATGCTCTCCATATTTAACTTACAGTCAGAAAACAATCGTAGTCCTTCAGAGCATGAGGGAAATAGAGAGGGTAGCAGGTAATGAAAAGACATGTTTGGCATTTAGTCTGCGCTGTCAGCTGAAATCGCTGCAGAAATAAACGCTTGCAGAAACAGATGTTGTGCAGACGTCTAAAAAATCAGCTACAAATCAGCATAAAAAACCATGAATGAGCAAACTGGTGAAAGGATGGATTCCATTTCTCTTACTTGCCATTAAACTAATATATCAAAAAGATATCCAATTCTATAAGAGAAAACAGCTAGAAATTAGCCTGGTTAAAATCAGACCATTCTCAGTTGTAACTGAGTTATGGTCTGGCAAAGCTTCATAGACAAATCATTTCCAAAGGGGCGTCACCAACGGACGTAGCTCAAATGCCTCTGGGCGCAATTGGATAGGCCTAAAACCAATCAGAGCGATGAAGGAGATGACGTATGCAGAGCGACGTTCATCTGTTATAGAACAACTCACGGGAGAGATCCACTTTTGCGACACGACAGTCGCGTGTTGTCACGACGCCTCCCCACATTTGTACATTGATGGGCGTTCCTCAAGTTTACCGCTATGGGCGTGGTTTTGAGCCAGCGGCCAGTCTAGAACAGAGGACCTGCGAGAGACTTCCCTCCGTCTCCATATGCTCTACTTCTATTGGATAGTCACGTCGCGTTCAACGGAATTCATTTGCATAACGCCGGGTTCACACCGGACGCTGAAGCGCCGCGGAAGCGGCGCGGAACGGAGGCCGCTTCCTTTCGGCGCCCATGTTAACCTATGGTGTCGTTCACACCAGACGCGGAGCGCCGCGGTGCGGCGCAGGCGGCACGCGCCGTGAAGCGCCAGTTTCGGCGTCTGGTCTATTTTTTCCGCGAGCCGCGAGTGATCCGCGTCAATTCCGGAAGGAAGTTACACCAAGAAACACTCGACTATCCGGTCAATTGTCAAAATAAAAGCAATTTTCAAATTAAAATACCGCGAGTGACAAATGCGAACACACAAACAAACAGGGAAACAACGAGAGGGAGAGGCACAAACTTCTTGGTTACAGAAACATGTTGTATTTATATTATGAGGTTATTTACTTACCCATGATGTAAAAAAAAAAATAGCTCTGAATAAACAACTGAGCAGAAGCGCTTGTCGACCTCCGCGAAGAACACGCGTCTGGTGTGAACAGGCACGCGCCGGACCGTGCGTGAATTTCCGTTCCGCGTCGCTTCAGCGTCCGGTGTGAACCCGGCGTAAAGATGGGCATCGGTCAGCTTTTTGACGCGCAGCATTTTTGTAAATGAAGCGCCGCCTTCCCAGAATGCTTTGCGGGCGCGTCAAAGTCGCATGACGTCACCCATAGGAATAATGCCGGGTTCACACCGGACGCTGAAGCGACGCGGAACGGAAATTCACGCGCGGTCCGGCGCGTGCCTGTTCACACCAGACGCGTGTTCTTCGCGGAGGTCGACAAGCGCTTCTGCTCAGTTGTTTATTCAGAGCTATTTTTTTTTTTACATCATGGGTAAGTAAATAACCTCATAATATAAATACACCATGTTTCTGTAACCAAGAAGTTTGTGCCTCTCCCTCTCGTTGTTTCCCTGTTTGTTTGTGTGTTCGCATTTGTCACTCGCGGTATTTTAATTTGAAAATTGCTTTTATTTTGACAATTGACCGGATAGTCGAGTGTTTCTTGGTGTAACTTCCTTCCGGAATTGACGCGGATTACTCGCGGCTCGCGGAAAAAATAGACCAGACGCCGAAACTGGCGCTTCACGGCGCGTGCCGCCTGCGCCGCGCTGCGGCGCTCCGCGTCTGGTGTGAACGACACCATAGGTTAACATGGGCGCCGAAAGGAAGCGGCCTCCGTTCCGCGCCGCTTCCGCGGCGCTTCAGCGTCCGGTGTGAACCCGGCGTAAAGCGGAGCGCGGCGCGACAGAAGTGCCGCACGGACAAGTGGATCCGCACCGTTACGCCGGGTTCACACCGGACGCTGAAGCGACGCGGAACGGAAATTCACGCGCGGTCCGGCGCGTGCCTGTTCACACCAGACGCGTGTTCTTCGCGGAGGTCGACAAGCGCTTCTGCTCAGTTGTTTATTCAGAGCTATTTTTTTTTTTACATCATGGGTAAGTAAATAACCTCATAATATAAATACAACATGTTTCTGTAACCAAGAAGTTTGTGCCTCTCCCTCTCGTTGTTTCCCTGTTTGTTTGTGTGTTCGCATTTGTCACTCGCGGTATTTTAATTTGAAAATTGCTTTTATTTTGACAATTGACCGGATAGTCGAGTGTTTCTTGGTGTAACTTCCTTCCGGAATTGACGCGGATCACTCGCGGCTCGCGGAAAAAATAGACCAGACGCCGAAACTGGCGCTTCACGGCGCGTGCCGCCTGCGCCGCACAGCGGCGCTCCGCGTCTGGTGTGAACGACACCATAGGTTAACATGGGCGCCGAAAGGAAGCGGCCTCCGTTCCGCGCCGCTTCCGCGGCGCTTCAGCGTCCGGTGTGAACCCGGCGATAGTTTGAATAAACGAGCAGACACTGATTAGCTACTTGCTCTACGTTTATTTCAAATCAACAGCAAGACAACTAGAAGTGAATGTGCTTTCCATTAAATAAATCACACACAGTAAACAAAACCTTAACAAAAAAAACTTTGCAATGAACTTTGCAATTTAGACACGCAAACTGCGTGCCGGTGTGGTGAGACGTACATGCTAGGGAAGATTCGGCTTGAAGTCGTTCATCCTCGGACGCGGCGCCGCGCGCGCTGTTACAAAAAAAGCCGTGCACATAGCCAAGCGAAATGGGGTCTTGCCGGTCTTGCGCACCGAACGCGTCATTTTTGCCGCGCGCACCTTCGCGCTCGTGCGGACACGTATAAACAAGGCTTTACTCCGTGTCAGTGCGCGCTCTGATCAGTAAAGGGGCAGAGATTTCAGATCTCCAAGATTTCTCTTCTTGTGAGGGGGTGCACAGACCTCTCCCGAATCATCTCCAGCAGTAGCAGCCTCCGAACCACCACTAACTCCGCCTCCGTTTCCCTCGTAAGCTGATATTAGTATTTAAACATTCTCTATGATAAAAAATGTTTGTGAATTTTTTTTTTTAATAACATGGTTTTGGCGGTTATAGAGTTCTAATGACGGTGTTCAACTATAATGGTGCGTTCACACCAGACGCGCGTCTGGCGTGAGTGATTTCAATGTTAAGTCAATTCAAAGACGCGTTGCGCGGGTAAAAAATTCCTGCGGCGCGAATGAAGCGTAGAGCGCGGCGCGGTAGACGTGAATATGCCTCATTCGCGCGGCAAGTTCGCGCGAATTGAGCATCTGGCGTGTTACGCGCGAATTATTTTATTAAGTGCTTTTTGTGCATTCACGCGTTTGACGCGAATTTGCGTCTGCCGCCCAGTTGAAAAATCTGAACTTTGGCGTCAATTCGCGCCGCGTTAACCAATCAGGAGCCTAGCTGCTTGCTGCTGTCACGTGGTGAGGTATCTGGATGCTTCAATAAATTATTTTGTAATATGACTGAATGCCTGGTGTGGTTCTAATGCACAACAAAGCAAATATTTTATCACATAAATCTTGATTTCAATATATGAGACATATTCATTTTGTATTGAATGCTATTTATTCCATATCTAGATTATATTAAATATTATTATAATGTAAAGACAACCAATATACTATAGTGCATAAGTTCGTGTCTGGACAGTGTTGTGTGAGAGAGAAAAAATCACAGGACAGGTTAATCACTTTTGGAGGCTGGCTCCATTTATCATCAAAACAAAAATAAATGACAGATTAGGTGGATGAGGGCGAGGGTGATCCTCGCTCCGATGCGGGACAACAGGTCATCAAACTGGGCGCGGGACAGGACAGGCGGAAGTACCGCTGAAAGCGGCCGTCGGCGCAGCGCCTGGAGCGAGCAAATGGCGAAACTCGCCAAACTGGGTTTGCCTCCGAAGGGTCTGGTGGACACAAATACGGCGACGATGACCCCTACGCCGCCGTTCTGCTCTCCAGAGCAAATACAGAGCGGTGACTCTCTCGATGAATGCTCGATCAACATAAAAAAAGATGGCCGACAACGGGTTTCGATTCCGACGCGTGTAAATTTCGCTTCAAACTTTTGTTTTTTACGCGCGTCAATATTGCTCTTGACGCGCGAATGGATTCAAAGTGTCGAAGCGTATTAACTAGACGCGGTAGGCGCGAATTTGACGCGCTATTCACGTCTGGTGTGAACGCACAGTAACCGTCACACCCCTAGTTCCACGGCGGCATCCATCTTTGTAAATGTACAAAATCTGCTTCACCATCGCTGTGCTGTCGTCATCGTGTAAAGCCCGCCCCAACGTTTCTGATTGGTGCCGCGATTTCGACGGATTAGAAATGGGCTTGAATTAGCTCTTTGCCAGACTAAAAAATCTAGCAATTCTAAATTTGCCGGAAGTTGTCTGGGTTTTCCCAGGCTAGCTAGAAATGTCAAAAAGGAATAAAATTATTTTGACATTAACAAAGTTGAGAACATTTCACAGAACACATTGCCCAGTATCAGAACTCGATGGTTGGTTTGTTTATATATATATACACTACCGTTCAAAAGTTTGGGGTCGGTACGATTTTAAATACTTTTAAAAGAATTCTCTTCTGCTAACCATGGCTGCGCTTATTTGATTAAAAATACAACAAAAATCAGTTATAGTATTAAATATTATTCCAGTGTAAATCAGCTGTTTTCTGTGTGAATATATAGTAAAGTGTAATTTATTCCTGTGATCAAAGCTGAATTTTCAGCATCACCAGTGTCAGTGTCTTCAGTGTCAAATGATCCTTCACAAATCAGTATAATATGAGGATTTGATGCTCAAGAAACATTTATTATTATTATCAATGTTGAAACAGTTGTTGGTCTGTCAGTTGTACACTTTTTTTTTTTTTTTTTTTGATTCTTTGATGAATAGGAAGTTCAAAAGACTTTTGTAACATTATAAATGTCTTTACTGTCACTTTCGATCAAATTAATTATTCCTTGATAAATAAAAGTATTGATTTCTTTCCTCCAAAAAATAAAAATAAAATTCTCACTGACCCCAAACTTTTGAACGGTAGTGTATATATATTGTTTATATATATATATATATATATATATATATATATATATATATATATATATATACACACACAGTGGGGAGAACAAGTATTTGATACACTGCCGATTTTGCAGGTTTTCCCACTTACAAAGCATGTAGAAGTCTGTAATTTTTATCATAGGTACTCTTCAACTGTGAGTGACGGAATCTAAAACAAAAATCCAGAAAATCACATTGTATGATTTTTAAGAAATTAATTTGCATTTTATTGCATGACAAGTATTTGATACATCAGAAAAGCAGACCTTAATATTTGGTACAGAAACCTTTGTTTGCAATTACAGAGATCATACGTTTCCTGTAGTTCTTGACCAGGTTTGCACACACTGCAGCAGGGATTTTGGCCCACTCCTCCATTCAGACCTTCTCCAGATCCTTCAGGTTTCGGGGCTGTCGCTGGGCAATACGGACTTTCAGCTCCCTCCAAAGATTTTCTATTGGGTTCAGGTATGGAGACTGGCTAGGCCACTCCAGGACCTTGAGATACTTCTTACGGAGCCACTCCTTAGTTGCCCTGGCTGTGTGTTTCGGGTCGTTGTCATGCTGGAAGACCCGGCCACGACCCATCTTCAATGCTCTTACTGAGGGAAGGAGGTTGTTGGCCAAGATCTCGCGATACATGGCCCCATCCATCCTCCCCTCAATACGGTGCAGTCGTCCTGTCCCCTTTGCAGAAAAGCATCCCCAAAGAATGATGTTTCCACCTCCATGCTTCACGGTTGGGATGGTGTTCTTGGGGTTGTACTCATCCTTCTTCTTCTTCCAAACACGGCGAGTGGAGTTTAGACCAAAAAGCTCTATTTTTGTCTCATCAGACCACATGACCTTCTCCCATTCCTCCTCTGGATCATACAGATGGTCATTGGCAAACTTCAGACGGGCCTGGACATGCGCTGGCTTGAGCAGGGGGACCTTGCGTGCGCTGCAGGATTTTAATCCATGACGGCATAGTGTGTTACTAATGGTTTTCTTTGAGACTGTGGTCCCAGCTCTCTTCAGGTCATTGACCAGGTCCTGTCGTGTAGTTCTGGGCCCCACGAGGTGAAATCTTGCAGGGAGCCCCAGACCGAGAGAGATTGACCATCATCTTGAACTTCTTCCATTTTCTAATGATTGCGCCAACTGTTGTTGCCTTCTCACCAAGCTGCTTGCCTATTGTCCTGTAGCCCATCCCAGCCTTGTGCAGGTCTACAATTTTATCCCTAATGTCCTTACACAGCTCTCTGGTCTTGGCCATTGTGGAGAGGTTGGAGTCTGTTTCATTGAGTGTGTGGACAGGTGTCTTTTATACAGGAAACGGGTTCAAACAGGTGCAGTTAATACTAGGGGTGGGAATCTCTAGGCACCTCACGATTCGATTCGATTACGATTCAGAGGGCTCCGATTCGATGCTAAAGCGATTATCGATTATCTGAATCTTTTTTTGTGTGTGTGTGTGACTATAAATACTTTGCTTTAAAAGTAAAAAGTAATGACCCATAAAGAATTAACGTACAATATACACTCACCGGCCACTTTATTAGGTACCCCATGCTAGTAACGGGTTGGACCCCCTTTTGCCTTCAGAACTGCCTCAATTCTTCGTGGCATAGATTCAACAAGGTGCTGGAAGCATTCCTCAGGGAGTTTGGTCCATATTGACATGATGGCATCACACAGTTGCCGCAGATTTGTCGGCTGCACATCCATGATGCGAATCTCCCGTTCCACCACATCCCAAAGATGCTCTATTGGGTTGAGATCTGGTGACTGTGGAGGCCATTTTAGTACAGTGAACTCATTGTCATGTTCAAGAAACCAATTTGAAATGATTAGAGCTTTGTGACATGGTGGAAGTAGCCATCAGAGGATGGGTACATGGTGGCCATAAAGGGATGGACATGGTCAGAAACAATGCTCAGGTAGGCCGTGGCATTTAAACGATGCCCAATTGGCACTAAGGGGCCTAAAGTGTGCCAGGAAAACATCCCCCACACCATTACACCACCACCACCAGCCTGCACAGTGGTAACAAGGCATGATGGTTCCATGTTCTCATTCTGTTTACGCCAAATTCTGACTCTAACATCTGAATGTCTCAACAGAAATCGAGACTCATCAGACCAGGCAACATTTTTCCAGTCTTCAACTGTTCAATTTTGGTGAGCTCTTGCAAATTGTAGCCTCTTTTTCCTATTTGTAGTGGAGATGAGTGGTACCCGGTGGAGTCTTCTGCTGTTGTAGCCCATCCGCCTCAAGGTTGTGCGTGTTGTGGCTTCACAAATGCTTTGCTGCATACCTCGGTTGTAACGAGTGGTTATTTCAGTCACTGTTGCCCTTCTATCAGCTCGAACCAGTCTGGCCATTCTCCTCTGACCTCTGGCATCAACAAGGCATTTCCGCCCACAGAACTGCCGCTCACTGGATGTTTTTTCTTTTTCGGACCATTCTCTGTAAACCCTAGAGATGGTTGTGCGTGAAAATCCCAGTAGATTAGCAGTTTCTGAAATACTCAGACCAGCCCTTCTGGCACCAACAATCATGCCACGTTTGAGTCACTCAAATCAACTTTCTTCCCCATACTGATGCTCGGTTTGAACTGCAGGAGATTGTCTTGACCATGTCTACATGCCTAAATGCACTGAGTTGCCGCCATGTGATTGGCTGCTTAGAAATTAAGTGTTAACGAGCAGTTGGACAGGTGTACCTAATAAAGTGGCCGGTGAGTGTATTTTATTAACATTGCAAAGAACCAACAGGAAAATAAATGTGTGCCTGAACTAGCAGCATAACGTTACTTGTAGTAAATTAATAATATAACAACGACCGGTAGCCTACAGCCGAGTGTTTTTCCTCCTGGGTGGAAACGTGTCATATGGCTTCATCATGTTTCCGAAATATTTTAGTTTTATTCTATAAAGCTTACAAATAGTGTGGCTCTTGTCCAGCTCCTTTCCCCCTTCAACTTCATAGAAGCCAAAATATTTCCACACGTCAGCTTTTAACGCAGAGGGTGTTTGGATTTCGCGCTCAGCCATCGCGTCTCTGTTATGTGCACGCCACAGACGGTCCGGGCACTGCACTTCCGCGCTTCAGAGTTCCGTCTTTTGCGTTCCGTCAGTATTACGTTATTATAAATATATAGAAATATATATATTTTTTTTTTGAAAATCGATTTTTGACATTTGTGAATCGATTCAGAATCGTCCACGTCCGAATCGCGATGCATCTAAGAATCGATTCCCCCCCCCCCCCCCCCCCCCCCACCCCTAGTTAATACAGTTAATGAGTGGAGAACAGGAGGGCTTCTTAAAGAGAAATTAACAGGTCTGTGAGAGCCAAAATTCTTACTGGTTGGTAGGTGATCAAATAATTATGTAATGCAATAAAATG